GAGGTACCCAGCACCTTTCTACATCAACACCGATACCTCTGAAAGGTCGGTACTACACCTGTACTCCTTCCAGTACTACTTTCGCACCTCCCCGGTACACCGCTGGTTCATATCAGCTATATTTTACGCATGTAATTTAAGTAAACATCATCTTTATCAGTGATACTCTTAGTAATGTGTCCTACTGATGGAGGACACATTACTGCTTCGAGCAGCCATAGATCCGAATGTATCCAAATCAAGTAGTGTTTGTAAACTTTAAAGCATCGAATTGCATGTGTATGTGTTTAATAAACATCCTCGAATCGCGATTGCATGCAAGAAAGCTTCTAACCGTACTTTCTGTAATGCTTCATTTCGTTTTACGTAACGTAAACTGGTTTGCTCTCGCGCCTAATTAAGAGACAATTTACATGTTTCAAAGGCTCTTGGTCGTCTGGGAAACATTTGGTCTCGTGAGAGAGGATGAGTGTAAAGAAGCCGAAGCTGACACAGAAAATAAGATCCATGTTGGTAAACACCACGATGCCGGTGTCTCAACCCAACCATCACATTACCAAAGCAATGGAAGCCGTAAATCAGGTGTCTCGACCCACTGTTCGTATTCATTGCGAGAGTACGGACGTGTGTGTGTGTGTGTATCAGTGTCACTAAGTCAGGTCACGATATAGGAGGTGATCAGGCGTCAACCAAGGAAGTGGAGAGGAACTCCAATTCAGTGGATCAGGAGCTTTTCAGCCGCGTCAGGGGAGATGACACTTGAAAATTTAAGAAACTAACTCACTGGTACAACAACAGTTATTATCACCATCGCTCTACAATCGGGTCTAAGCAACGCAAAAACTTTGAACTTCCTGTGCGCTGGTGAGTGCATGCGCGTGCATGCATGCGTGTGCACTCGTGCGTGCTCGCTTGCGCGTGCACGTGCTGGGACAGCTCACTACTCTGTTTAGGCTCACACAAGCACCTCATTTGGACGTGTGCGTGTCTGTACCTATGTATATGCGAGCATATGTGTACTCACCTAGTTGTGGTTGCAGGGGTCGACTCATAGTTCCTGGCTCCTCCTCGTTCGTTACCATAGCTAGCATTACAGTGAAGTAATTGATCTTCTAGTTTCGCTCATTCAGCATTCTGTTTCGTCTTGTTTTGGCTGCTCATCCACCAGTCAAACGCCAGTCACTGCCCATGAGTATCTTGTATCTTGTGGTCATATCTACCCTAAGTTTTGATCGTGTCCTGTAATTAACTCTTAGCCAGAGTCCTGCAATAATATCACTAGATAATAATACTAGTTAAAATGTATAATTGTTCTGAAAAAAAAATAGCCAAAGAGCACAAGTAAACACATTGTTTTAAAATTCCTGCATTTTATGAAATTTGAAGATTAGTTAATAAGGTTTAAATCTTATCCACTACACGAGGGTCATTACGGCTGCATGTTGGTTGTTCACCACCAGTCACCACACGAGGATCATTAACACTGCAAGTCACCAGTTCACCACCAGTCACCACACGAGGATCATTAACACTGCAAGTCACCAGTTCACCACCAGTCACCACACGAGGATCATTAACACTGCAAGTCACCAGCTCACCACCAGTCACCACATGAGGATCATTAACACTGCAAGTCACCAGTTCATCACCAGTCACCACACGAGGATCATTAACACTGCAAGTCACCAGTTCACCACCAGTCACTACATGAGGATCATTAACACTGCAAGTCACCAGTTCACCACCAGTCACCACACGAGGATCATTAACACTGCAAGTCACCAGTTCACCACCAGTCACCACACGAGGATCATTAACACTGCAAGTCACCAGTTCACCACAGTCACCACACGAGGATCATTAACACTGCAAGTCACCAGTTCACCACCAGTCACCACACGAGGATCATTAACACTGCAAGTCACCAGTTCACCACCAGTCACCACATGAGGATCATTAACACTGCAAGTCACCAGTTCACCACCAGTCACCACACGAGGATCATTAACCCTGCAAGTCACCAGTTCACCACCAGTCACCACATGAGGATCATTAACACTGCAAGTCACCAGTTCACCACCAGTCACCACATGAGGATCATTAACACTGCAAGTCACCAGTTCACCACCAGTCACCACACGAGGATCATTAACACTGCAAGTCACCAGTTCACCACCAGTCTCCACACGAGGATCATTAACACTGCAAGTCACCAGTTCACCACCAGTCACCACATGAGGATCATTAACACTGCAAGTCACCAGTTCACCACCAGTCACCACATGAGGATCATTAACACTGCAAGTCACCAGTTCACCACCAGTCACCACATGAGAATCATTAACACTGCAAGTCACCAGTTCACCACCAGTCACCACCACATGAGGATCATTAACACTGCAAGTCACCAGTTCACCACCAGTCACCACATGAGGATCATTAACACTGCAAGTAACCAGTTCACCACCAGTCACCACATGAGAATCATTAACATTGCAAGTCACCAGTTCACCACCAGTCACCACATGAGTATCATTAACACTGCAAGTCACCAGTTCACCACCAGTCACCACATGAGGATCATTAACACTGCAAGTCACCAGTTCACCACCAGTCACCACATGAGAATCATTAACACTGCAAGTCACCAGTTCACCACCAGGCACCACATGAGGATCATTAACACTGCAAGTCACCAGTTCACCACCAGTCACCACATGAGGATCATTAACACTGCAAGTCATCAGTTCACCACCAGTCACCACACGAGGATCATTAACACTGCAAGTCACCAGTTCACCACCAGTCACCACATGAGGATCATTAACACTGCAAGTCACCAGTTCACCACCAGTCACCACATGAGGATCATTAACACTGCAAGTCACCAGTTCACCACCAGTCACCACATGAGGATCAAACACTGCAGTCATCAGTCACCCCAGTCACCACACGAGGATCATTACACTGCAAGTCCCCGTCACCACCATCACCCCCACGAGGTCTTTAAACCCACTGCAAGTCACCAGTTCACCACCAGTCACCACATGAGGATCATTAACACTGCAAGTCACCAGTTCACCACCAGTCACCACACGAGGATCATTAACACTGCAAGTCACCAGTTCACCACCAGTCACCACACGAGGATCATTAACACTGCAAGTCACCAGTTCACCACCAGTCAAGAATGTTTTTCTCCCCCTAAAACAGGGATTACAGGGAACTGTCAGTGTATATATACACTCAGAGGTATACATCTCTTCGTGTATATATACACTCAGAGGTATACATCTCCTCGTGTATATCTTCTCTGAAGGATTGTTACCGGGGTTTAAAGTTGATCGGCTACACGAGGGTCATGAAATGCCCGAATTGCCTAGGCATGCTAGTTGCCTTCTTTATAAATAATATTTCAAAAAATGCAAACCAAACATTGTTAATATTGCAAGGAAATAAACATTTTAATTTTATTTTTTAAGGAAGGATTCACGGTAACTTTCTTTCATCTCCATTTAAGAAAAACTTTGATTCCTGAAACAGGCATTAAAGTAAGGTCTTAGAGTACAGCCTCTCCAGGGAGGTCCCTTGACGCTGGTGAGGGGCTCTTGATCTAGGGAACTGGATCTGTGCTCCAGTTCCCTGAATTGAGCCTGAATGCCTTCCACCATCGCCCACAGGCGCTGTATAACCCTACGGGTTTAGTGCTTATAATAATAATAATAATAATAATAATAATAATAATAATAATAATAATCTAGCGTATATACTCTGAAATGTAAATGATACTACATTTTACAATCATTTAGATTACTCTTTATTTAGAAGAAATAAATTGTATGTAAATAGCTTAATTTATTCATCTGATATCAATTACTAAAGTTAAAATTGTAAATATTTAAAACTTACATAAATTTATTTATTCCAATAAGTAATTAGGTAAGTTTATTACAAAAAAAAGAGAGAACAATAATTTACTTAGTAGAAAGTCACTGAATGGAAAGCAAAAATGAATCATATGATAATGGAAAGTTGAATTGACGTTACATTAGTGGTGCACTCTGGTTTAAATATTATTTTTTTTGTAGCCGAAATGGTTATATTTAAGTTTTGTTTAGTATATGCGAGATAGATAGATAGATAGATAGATAGATAGAGAGACAGAGAGAGAGAGAGAGAGAGAGAGAGAGAGAGAGAGAGAGAGAGAGAGAGAGAGAGAGAGGAGGTAGTTGAATCATCGGGAGGAAGAAAGGGAGCTGGGTGGGTAGGGGTTGGGAGAAGAGGATTGGGAAGGAAAGAGAAAAGAACGATGGGAGAAGGAAGCAGGCAGGCAGGCAGGCAGGAAGGCAGGCAGGCAGGCAGGCAAGCATGCAGGCAAGCAGGCAGGCAGGCAGGCAGGCAGGCAGGCAGTCAGTCAGGCAGGCAGGCAGGCATGCAGGCAAGCAGGCAGTCAGTCAGTCAGGGAGGCAGGCATGCAGGCAGGCAAGCAGGCAGGCAGGCACTCAAGCAGGCAGGCAGGCAGGCAGGCAGGCAGACAGGCAGGCAGGCAATCAAGCAGACAAGCAGACAGACAGGCAGGCATTTGATGCTTAAGACTTTTTTTCACTTTGAGCATGGAGAACAGAGAGTCATCAGTCGTCCTAACTAATGTATTATTGCTGAATATTGATCTTACATCGACACCATGCCTAACCCTTCTAGGGTAGGGTAGGTGCCTGAGCCCGAGCTTTTGGCTCATAAGACTTGTCATTCCCATTTGCCCCCCTGGGGCGGGGATGGCAGACCAGAGAGGCCTAGCTTGTGGCTAGGCCTGGGGACAGTTGGTCCCAAAGATGAGGAGGTACTTGTGCCTCCTTCCATGGGAGACTTAGGTCTCAGACACTCCCTAAAGAGGGAGCCAAGGCCGGGCCACCACTTGGAAAAGGCCCGGGCCGGGATAATACCGGCTAATATTTAATAATAATAATAATAATAATATTGATCTTAATTTTTCTTTGCAGATGAAGTAGTCTTGCGGCCACAGACAACCTCTTCGCCACTTCACTACTACAGGTAAGTGTACACCCCTTATTTTGTTTACAAGGGGCCAAGTAGCAGCTTCTGACCCAGCCTCTTCACTAACAACCGATTTCACTTTATTTCTAACCTCGTAAACACTCTCATACCTGTTCTTTAATCTGAGCATGGAGTCTGCCACCCTCACTTCCTCGTCCAGGTCATTCCACTTTCTAACCACCCAGAGGCTGCAGTATTATTTCCTGGCATCTTTGTGGCTTATTAGTGCCTGTAGCTTTCATCTGTGCCTTCTTGTTCCTCAGCATTACCTTACAGACTCTCTGAAAAATAATGCTAAAAGATTAATGGGGTTTATAGCCTACACTAGGCTTTAAGGTTGCATTTAAACTTTTCACCACCAGACAAGAACATTTTAATCACTTAAACAGGAATTAATATAAACTCTTAACATATATACACTGAGATAATATTATAAAAAAATTCTTTTGGATTAACCGGGGGAATATTAGCCACCCAGGATAACCCAATATAGTCTTACTTTCATCTTGTTCCCCAGGATGCGACCCACAATAGTCGACTAACACCCAGGTACCTACTTGCTGCTAGGTGAACAGGAACACCAGGTGTAGGGAAACATGCCCAACGTTTCCACCTGTGCCAGGAATCAAACCACTGGCGCTCAGTATGTGAGCTGTGTTCTATTAACCGACTCATACAACATATACTTCTCGGTGTATATATCATGTGCCACGTCCATCATACTGGAATTTTCTACTAGTTTTGGCCACTGGCTCAAATGGTAGCTATAAGTATAGCTTCATATATTTTTAATTAAGGTGAAGAATCATAGGTATTTCTCTCTCTCGTGATAGACGGAAGATAACAATAAGGATTCTCACCGATGTTTCTCAGTCAAAAAGATTCAGGAAGAGAAGGAGCAAGATAAGGAGGAGGAGGAAAAGGAGTGAAGATGAAGGAGTGAAGGTGAAAGCAGGATGGTAGGATGGAAAGGCAGGCAGGTTGCCAGGTAAGCAGGATGGATGTCGTGATGCAGTTATCATTTACACTCCAGTTACTCATATTTCTTTATTCACTCATCCATCCACAACTTCATCCCTCACCACCACCTCAACCCTCAGTTGTCGCCTCATTCACGATCACCTTGGAACCCCCACCCACACACCTGTCACTGACCACACTACACACTAATATAGCCAGGTAGGCCAGGTAGGCCAGGTAGGCCAGGTAGGCCAGGTAGGCCAGGTAGGCCAGGTAGGCCAGGTAGGCCAGGTAGGCAAGGTAGGCCAGGTAGGCCAGGTAGGCCAGGTAGGCCAGGTAGGCCAGGTAGGCCTTGGGGTGGCCGAGTTGTGCTTGTTCAACTTGACGATGAACCACTGCAGCCGGGAAGGAGCCTAGTAATAAGAAATTCCATTAATGCTTACGATCAGCAATATTCGATTCGTAACGGTGGTGGTGACTGTATGGTGGTGGTGGTGACTGTATGGTGGTGGTGGTGGTGACTGTATGGTGGTGGTGGTGACTGTATGGTGGTGGTGGTGACTGTATGGTGGTGGTGACTGTATGGTGGTGGTGGCTGTATGGTGGTGGTGGCTGTATGGTGGTGGTGGTGGACTGTATGGTGGTGGTGGTGACTGTATGGTGGTGGTGGTGGTGACTGTATGGTGGTGGTGGTGACTGTATGGTGGTGGTGGTGACTGTATGGTGGTGGTGACTGTATGGTGGCGGTGGCTGTATGGTGGTGGTGGCTGAATGGTGGTGGTGGCTGTATGGTGGTGGCTGTATGGTGGTGGTGGTGACTGTATGATGGTGGTGGTGGCTGTATGGTGGTGGTGACTGTATGGTGGTGGTGGTGACTGTATGGTGGTGGTGGTGACTGTATGGTGGTGGTGACTGTATGGTGGCGGTGGCTGTATGGTGGTGGTGGCTGTATGGTGGTGGTGGCTGTATGGTGGTGGTGGTGGCTGTATGGTGGTGGTGGTGACTGTATGATGGTGGTGGTGGCTGTATGGTGGTGGTGACTGTATGGTGGTGGTGGTGACTGTATGGTGGTGGTGGTGACTGTATGGTGGTGGTGGCTGTATGGTGGTGGTGGCTGTATGGTGGTGGCTGTATGGTGGTGGTGGTGGCTGTATGGTGGTGGTGACTGTATGGTGGTGGTGGTGACTGTATGGTGGTGGTGGTGACTGTATGGTGGTGGTGGCTGTATGGTGGTGGTGGGCTGTATGGTGGTGGTGGTGGCTGTATGGTGGTGGTGACTGTATGGTGGTGGTGGTGACTGTATGGTGGTGACTGTATGGTGGTGGTGGTGGCTGTATGGTGGTGGTGACTGTATGGTGGTGGTGGTGACTGTATGGTGGTGGTGACTGTATGGTGGTGGTGGTGGCTGTATGGTGGTGGCTGTATGGTGGTGGTGGTGGCTGTATGGTGGTGGTGGCTGTATGGTGGTGGTGGTGGCTGTATGGT